TTTAGCATGTCATCATGTCAGTTATCAAAGTTAGTCTAATTTAACGAAAATTTTACTTAATTACATTAATTTGAAAGTTTGTGGATTTATTTACATAAAAATAAAAGAATATAAACTAATTTGCTATTAATAAAATGCTAGGAGCTTAAATCCATTTTATATAAATGGTTGGTATATTTGAATATTAAGCCTAAAATAACTTTGAAACTAGCATAAGTATGCACACACTTATGGCCACTCACAATTATTAAAAAGCCGAAAAAATAATAGTTATTTGACTTCCTTAGCTTACATTATTGAGCCCCTACAAGAACTTTAGGGAGAGTAATAAAACAAGAGTATTTTTTTAAAACATATTACTTCTAAATTTTAAAAGCATAATTAGACATATAATATGACTCATTTCAAGAATTTTAAGATAAGTAATGAGACTCAAAAATCTAAAATGCATGCTTAATAAACTCAAAATATAAACAACTTGATCATAAAAGTTTCTTCATTAGTTAAGCTATTATAAATGTCAAAATTATTAATAAAGAATGTCCATAAATCTTTATCATTTTCTTTCTCGCATAATATACATATATACATATTTTGAAACTTTTTATTAATGCACTTAATATAAAGCACAATGACTTAAAATAAAGTGATAGCGAAGCTGTAAAAATATAAAGTCTCAAGTCAAATTATATGCAACCATTTACTTTTACAAATGATACTTTTCATCTAAAAGAGACATCTTAAACCTAAAATCCACAGTATTTAAAATGTAAATTTGAATTTACGAAAAGAGCACATGTAAAGAAAACATGCTATTAAGAATCTAGGTTGAAAATTATTTTCAAACCTTAGCTACAATGATTTATTCTTAAGAAAAAATACAAAAAAGATGTGAAATCTCACCTTAAGAAAATTCATCAAACTCAATTCAATTAACAAAATTTCTTTTTCTATATTCGTGATAAAAAACACAAAATAATACCAACTTATTTTAAATTCCTCCAATCAAATATATTGGGATAAAACCATTCAAACAAAAATAAGGTTGGAACAAAAGGGTGGAGGAAGAAGTATAAAGAGTAATAAGGCAAAATCAAAAGATAAATAACCTTAGTCCAATAATTAAAAAATCAAAAATCTTTTTTTAATTTTATTGTAAGCTAGTTTTCATGGAATTTTAAAATGTTTAGTATTTTTACTTTGAACTCATTAATTAATTCAATATATAATTGCATTTATGTTTTGTTATCACTATTCATCTATTTTTAGGATCACCCTTTCAAGAAAGACTGTTACAATGGGTGAAATATAGCAAGAAAGCAAAGAATTGAAAAATCCTAAAGAACAAATCAATATATTTTCAGCCATAAAATATCATGTAAAGAATATGTATATATTGAAATCATATATTTATAAAGATGAATATAATTACTTGAATCAATATAGACAACTGATCTGTACTTAGAAAAGCCCTAAAAAGATAAAAAAATAAAAATAAAAATTCAAGTTTTCAAATAAATAATTGAAAATGAAAAAGGGGAGGAAGAAAGCTATAAATCTTGAGATTGATAGGAATGGTAACGTAAGTAGAGCGAAGGGAATGAAAGAAGGCTTGCCCTCGCACAATGATATTCTCTTTATTTTTGCCCTAAATTCAGTTGCCTTTTCTTCTATTTTCAATGAAAAAGGATCTCCTCAATGCTAAAACTTTATAGAACAATTAAACATCCTATAGTAAGTATAATATTTATTGATCTGAAAAAAACTTTAGGGAAAAAGAAAAAAATTAAAAAAAAAGGATACAAAGCATCAAAGGTAGTATAATAGATTCTAAATTATTGATATAGAGCATTAAAGGTTGTATAATAGATTCTAAATTATTAATATCTAAAAAACCCATATTAATTTCTTTAAAATATCTAATAAAATAAATAAAAAACTTATGAATTAAAATTAGTTTTTAAGTGAGATACAATAGCCACGAAACTAGAGATGAAGAATTATGAATAACAAAAACTTAAAGATTCAGCAAGTCATAGAAAAAAAAAGACAAGAAATGAAAAGAAAGCAAAAAAAAAAAAGAAATGAAATATATTAATAAAGGTAGTAGAGTAGGAATTAGCTTTGGAAACTATTTAGATAATATTTATAAAATTTAGATAAGATCAAGCTGCTTTTCTCACTTTTTCTCGCTTGCTTTTCACTTTTTAGTAAACATCCAACATCTTTTCAATGTTTCATGACCTTTTATCTTTAATAGAAGTGACAATGGTTTGGATCGGACTGGATTTTATTAAATTTTTTAGGATAATGTATAGAATTATGAATATCTAAAATTCGATTCGAATTGACCTTCCCTTGAAATCGATTTGATCTAAATAGAAGTTTACCAATTTGATTTTGTTTGTCGATTTTTAAATTTTTATATATTACTTTAATAAAATTTTTAATATATTTAACAAATTTATATATAAAATATTTATTTAATTTTAAAAAATTTAAAATATGTATAAAAATTAATAAAAATATATAATTTGATTCGATTTTTTTTTATTTTTCATATCTCGATTCAAAATTTTATCCAAATTTAATATATACATTTAATATCTGAATTTGATCTGAACTGAATAAAAAAAACTAATTCTATCAAAACCAAACACTATGATATCAAATTAGTTTGTTCTCGATTTTTTTTTACCCCTAATCTTTAGTGTGTGGAAATACAAAAGTATTATTGACAAAGTAAAAAAAAAAAATTATCCTAAATTGGATAAGTGTCGCACTAGTAAAGAGTTTTAGACAAAATTATATGTAAGCTAGATGAAGCAAAATAAACAAATAGAAGCATTATAAAAATTTAATAGGCTGTTATTTTTTATTACTTATAGTTAGATTATAAATAATAGAATTTTTAAAAAATATACATATCAGCTGTTAAATTTTCATAAATTAAATGGCAAAGTTATTATAATAATTTAATATGTAATTAAGTTATAGATTATTCTCATTCTTAATTTTATCTAAACAAGTGAATAATGCAAATAAATATTATCTTGACCAATAAAATGAAAATGGAAAAAAGAAGAAAATGTCACAATTCAAATTTTGTGCAGAGCAATAATGGTCTAGGGGCCAATTTGGTATTAAAGAAAAGCAGTTGTTCACATGCAAAAGTCAGTAGCCCATTCAGTGAGCGCTGCTTTCAAAGTGGCGCACCTAGCGGCCTGTTGGGAGGGGGCACCTGGAGAGAAAATTAACAAGCACCTTGAAAACTTTAGAATTGGAAAATAAGCTATTCAAGTGTTTTTTTTTTCCCCTCCCGTTGAAGGACTTTCTTATTTTCAGCGACAGAGTTCATGGATTTGATACGTAGGTAAAAAATGTTAGTAATAATCCCAATTGAGAAATTATAGAAGTAACATTTCAAACTAATATAGTCATGCTCTTTCTCAAAGTAAGTTTGCCGATTACCCGTAAAGGATTAATCCAATTTTTTAGATAAAAAAAAAAGAATTCGATCATTACTCTTTAAACAATAACAAAGAATGCATGTACTATGACATTAGTCACTAAATCAAATACGGCCTTCAAGTTCTAATCATTATTATATATGCATCATGAATCCAAGGCGTTGCTTAAAATTTTCACCATAATATGATGGTATAGGTAATACGAAATTAATTAGTTACCAAATCTATACCCAGATGTACCTAGATCTGTTCTTACATTAAGCCCAACTCTACAAACTGAGCAGGTTCCATCTCATAATTATGGCTTGGGCCAAAAGGTAAAAGGTTAAATTTGTTTGATATTGGCCTGAGCCATGGACAAAATCTTTCAGATTTTGATACTTTTGAGCCCGAGAATCATGCTTGCATATATACAGTTTGGTCCAATCTTGCATTCTGTGCAGAAGTAATGAAAAGTGCGAAACACGTGGGATTGTGCAAGTCGGCCCACTAGTGGCACTCGTGACAGTGGCAGTGGTGCACCGATTTGGTCGACTTCCTTTCCCCTTCTTTTGAACTGCACAATGTGGGCGGATATTTCCTTATCCTTATAACGACAATGTAAACCAATGCAAGCTGTTTGGATTCCATTTATTGAAGATTTGAGTTTGAACTTGAGTTACTGCAATAATAAATTGAAAGGAGTTTAAACGTTTTAATAATTAATTCGTGAAGCTCATGAATTTAAATCAAAATTTTATTTTTTTAATAAATGATGATACAATAATTTAATATTTAATATTTATTATGTATAAATCTAATCAAGTTTATCAAATATAATTTAAATGATTTCAATAAATTATGAATTGAACACAGGCATAAAAGAATAAGCTTAATTGAGTTTTAATAAAATTTCAAATCAGGTGGAATATATTAACAAGTAATCATTTATCACCCACTGAGTTTAACTGTGTTTTATTTTATCTTTATCTTTATATCATGCAATAGATGCATTTTGTTTGTCTTTCCTACTGTAACTTTTGGGAAGTCATTGATAACAAAGGTGTTTCAAATTACTACTTTTTTTTACCACAGTAAAATTTAAAAAGGTGTTTCAAATTACCTCCGAGCTGTTCCAAAAAAATAATAATAATAATAATTACCTCCTACCAAAAATTGAGAGGGCCAAAAACATTATTTAATTTAACCAAACACAAATGCCAAAATGAGCACAAGTGTTTGGGCCTTAAATTGATTTTAAAGCATCTTATTTAGTTCCCTCTTTCACATTCCAGGCATCCAACACCAAAAGTAGGCCCATCTTTCTCCTAACAAACCAAATAATGCCACGTGTTCCATTTGTAAGGTTTAGGGCGGCCAGTTCCTAACTCCCCCAACGAGGCAAATTTTGGAACATCGTATGAGACACATGTTTTTTCCTGTCGTGGCGGTCTCCCATTGGTCCCTTACAAACCTTACTAATGGTTAATATAAAACGCGTTGTGCAAAAAAAGTAATCAGGTGCTTCGCACCCCACCCTAGTGAAATCAACATCCAATAAACAATAAATTTTATTTTTTGGGTGTTTGCAGTAGGGTTTAGTAGTGACGTTCGTCTCTCTCATTTTCCTTCCCTCTTGCGCAGAATCCGAAAAGGCTCTCTGCTTAAATTTTTTTTTTCCACGGAAAAACCTCTCCGGAATTTATAGCTGACCCGATTTTTTTTTTTTTTAACATGGAAGCAACGGTGATTAGTTGCTCGGAATTGAGAATCGAAGCAACAACGGGGGAGTGTTCGGATCTTGGAAACGGGTCATCGGCTTCTGCTTCTTCCGGTGGTCACCTTTCTGAGAGAAAGATCAAGTTCCATCCAGCAAGGAAGCCGTTTAATGGGTTTAAAAGTTGTAGAGGTGGGGATTTTAGAATCGAGACGCTAAACCCTGGTTCGGATCCGAAGAGGGTAAATGGGGTGGGATTTGGTCAAGTGGGTACAGGAACGAAGGTTGATGGGACGGATATGTGGGAGAATGGGTTAGATCCAATTCTTAGTTTGAGGATTAGTTTTCGTAAAATTGTAAGCTTTTCATTTGATGCTTCTTGTTATTTTTTGATGGGTTCTTTTCCATTTATGACTTTATGTGAAATTCTATCCTTTTTCTTTGGGTGTTTTCTGCTTATTAATTTGTCTTGGATATTTTCATTAATGGTTAAGAAGCGTTACTTCATTGAGCTTGCTCTTATGCGTTTTTCATTTACATGGAGTCTTTTGTCAAATGCTGTTTTTTTGGAGATTTCTAGAGCTCTTCTCTATCATTTGAGCTTTGTTGGTTTCGTCTGACTATAATATAAAGTGTCTTCAATCAAAGTATTTTGCTTGTTTCCAACAAACTTGGTCTTAAATGTCCGATTTGTTTTCTTTGTTATTGTTGGAAAATGCTGCGAAAGGTGGATTTACAATTAACTTAGCCACTAACATGGCATGAATAATTTACAGGGTGCTGGTTTACAGAATCTTGGAAACACTTGCTTTCTTAATTCGGTATTGCAATGTCTGACATACACAGAACCTTTAGTAGCTTACCTACAAAGTGGCAAGCATCAAAATTCTTGTGAGTGAAATTATCTTCTCTCTCTCTCTCTCTCTCTCTCTCTCTCTCTTCTTGTGCAGTATAACATTTTATAGATGTGTTTATTCACTTATGGGCATCAATATGTATGCACAAAGTTGCCTGTTATGTTTCGCCTATAAATGCAAGTCTTGTTTCACATGTTATGTTCTTATATATCATTTTTTATGGCCATATTTCAATTGTTTTGTGAAGGTCGTGTTGCTGGATTTTGTGCCTTATGTGCTATCCAGAAACATGTTAGCCGTGCTCTACAATCAACTGGGAGAATATTGGCACCAAATGATCTGGTCTCAAACCTACGATGTATCCTTTTGGTATATCATGTTATTGAATATTTTGATATTCAACTGAGGTGCATTAGATATTTCCTTATTAATCCTTAGCCAATGGAGATTATTCAAAAGGCAATGCTGTTAGCTATATATTTCTGAAATTCATTTGAGGGAGTTATTTGTTATATTACTTCACAAATTAAACCTGAAATAATATTAATATTAATATTAATGGCTAATTATTGACGTTCTCCTGATTAAGTTATTCTGCTCGTTATTTTCCTGAACTTGTGAATCTTGACCTCATGCTTAGGCATATCTCGAAACTTCCGAAATTCTCGACAGGAGGATGCACATGAGTACATGGTAAACCTGCTGGAATCCATGCACAAGTGCTGCTTACCTTCAGGAGTACCAAGTGAATCCCCTAGTGCTTATGAGAAGAGTTTAGTGCACAAGATCTTTGGTGGCCGCCTTCGTAGTCAGGTATAGTTTTTCTTGCTGGATTATGATATGACCAAATTCTAAACAGTTTTTGCTAGGTTCTGACAGTTTCTGAGTGTGTTGCGATTAAGCAATGTAAATTCATTGACTTAGTATATATGTTCAAGCACTGTTTAAACTTCTTATAAAACGATGCTTCTGTACATTATTCAATGGTTTCTTGTTACATCTTCAGGTGAAATGCATGCAGTGTTCTTACTGCTCCAATACATTTGATCCCTTCCTAGATTTAAGTCTGGAAATAGTTAAGGCAGATTCAATGCATAGAGCACTTAAAAACTTCACTGCTGCGGAGCTTTTAGATGGAGGGGAGAGGCAGTATCATTGCCAACGCTGCAAGCAGAAGGTTAGGGCAATGAAACAGCTCACAGTTTACGATGCACCTCATGTGCTTACAATCCATTTAAAGAGATTTCGAGCACATGATTTTGGGCAAAAGATTGACAGGAAAGTTGTATTTGGTCCGACCTTAGACATGAAGCCTTTTGTCAGTGGTTCCAATGTGAGTAAACTTCTATTGCATGCTGTACTTTTCTGAAGTGAGTGAGTTTGTAGGTTATCTAAGCCATTCTTTGTGAAACACAAAAAGTAGTGTCAAAAGAATAATGCAATGCCATATAAGTGTCTTTTCTCATATGACTTTTAAGGGACAATGATCTTAGGAAGAAATTTCTCTTCATTTGTTGTTTATTCTGTTAGTTTTTTTTTCATTCTGAATACTTGCAGCATTCTGCTATAGGAAGAAACTATTCTTGTAATCTGTCTTGCCACAACTTTGACATCATGCTTTACATAACTAATTGAAAAGTTAAGTTTGTTGGACTTGGCAGGAAGGAGATTTGAACTACACTCTTTACGGCGTTTTGGTTCATTGTGGATGGAGCACTCATTCTGGCCACTACTACTGTTTTGTTCGCACATCAAGTGGCATGTGGTACTCCCTTGATGACAACAGGGTACTGGAAACAATTTTGTCCTTTAGATGTTTTCTAGCTATTAGAATGCTAGCAGGGTTGATCAGTGAGAGGATATTATTCCCAACTTATTAGGAATTTACCTCCTCTTTCTTCAATTCCCACTAAATATGGGGAGCGGATCAAGATGCTGAACTTATATTAAGTCTGTTGTTTTTGCAAGATGTAGAAGCACATATTTATCTTAAACATGTGGCTTACCATGCTATGTTTGCAAGCCATAAGAGATGTTCATTATTGGAACTTGAGGACTACTTTAATTTATCAAACATGACTCACACAATATATTCATTTCATCAGATGTAAAGGAATGAAGAGAGATTAAGGGTGGGGGTGAGAAACTGTTTTTGTTTTTTTTCCATTATTTAAGAGATCCCTTACTAAATGCATTATTATGGATCTTGAGAATGAAGCTTCTTACGTGTTTCCAAACATAATGCAACAGGTTGTCCAGGTCAGTGAGAGGACTGTTTTGGAGCAGAAAGCTTACATGTTGTTTTATGTTCGTGACAGAAGAAATAATGCTCCAAGAAAACCTATTGATATTCTTCAGAGAGAGAACTTAAAAGCAAATGTGAATGGAAAATCCATTTTTAATCAAAATCTTAAGGAACATGTGCAAACTGGTCCAGTTGAGAATAAATTATGTGCTGCAGGCAATTCTGCTGCTATGCCTCAAAAGGATGCCTTTAATGGTGGCTTAGCAAAGGAGCCAATCATGAAGGAAGTGCCTTCTCAGCAAAACACTGTGCAGCTAATGGCAGAAAGCTCAGTGCTTAAGAAGGACTCATCACAAGCATCTGCTTCAAACCTAGTTCATGGTAAAAACTTGCAACCATCAGTGCCTTCTGTGGTTGGCAATGTTAAGATTTCTAATATTGAAAATTCAGCTGTTACTGCTGTTGCCAAAGATAGTGACTCCAATGAGAGTGGAAAAACTGAAAAGGAATTTGGAGTCACAATGACGATATCACCCAATTGTGGTGGTTTCCAGAACTCTGTCGCTGATAAGGTTGCGACTAAAGAGACTTTGCAGAAGGTATATGCATATTTCATTCCCTACACAGGCTTCTGTCTCCTTTTCCCTACACAGGTGGCATTTGTAAATGTTTCTAATTTGTAAATCCGTTTATGTCTCCAGATTAATCTTGCTTCAAACATTGACGTTTCAATTACTGTTGCAATAGAAGATTTGATACAGGAAGCAGTGAAGAAAGTTCCTGGTGAAAATCCATCTACGAGTACTACTAATGAAATATCTAAGAAGATTCATGCCATTAGGTCTCCAAATAAGCCAAACTGTGACAGTAGTGAGGTGATTGTATATATCATTTTCCATATCTAATACTAGTAATAATATTTATACTTGTACATTGAATTATAATTTGTTTCCCAATTCATTTCCAGATTGGAGATGTTTCTAACCATAGTACCTGTGATAAGTCACTGAACGAGAAGAGAGATGATATTAGCCTAAAAATTAGGTCTGAATCCCCTTCGAACATGCCAAATGGATCTTTGGAGACTGAAGCACCTGAATATGCACCCTGTAGAAAATCAAAGAAGAAGCATCTGAAGCGCCAGCTTAACAACATGCATATGGGCTTAAAATTAAAATTTTTCAGGGCATCTCTACACATGCACAGCAGGAAGAAACATAAAAGGACTAAGAAATCAACATTAAAGGCTCACATTCTTTGTAAAGAAAGTTTGTTGGGCAAGGATTGTTTTCCCTCAGATCTGGGGCCATCTACATCTGAGAAATCCAGCACAATCAGTTTAGGTTCAATTCATCATGGGAGGAAAAAGGCAGCCAATGATGCTATGAAAAATGTTAACAATAGTGCCACCTCCTTGATGAATACTATAGATGGAGAATTTAAAGAGAGGATTTTTGAGAATGTTACTATTCTTGCAACTGATCAACAGGTAGAAAGGAGTTCTGGCTCAGTCTTAGAAGCAAACCGGCTTAACTCAAGAGAAACTGATTCTTTGAAAGATAGCAAAACGGGTGCATCTCCGCATAGGCATGTGCTTACCCAAGGTCTGGGGGAGACAACAGGTAGGAACTTATCTAAAATATATATTCCATATCTTTTGCCTCATGCTTTAGAAATTCATTTCTCGTGTTCATATGTGCATCATCTGCATTTAAATCTTTTATGCAAAGTCCATTGGTTTTGTTTTGCATTTCTTTGGGGTTTTGGCCTTTTGGGGGAGACACTCCAGCAGTAATTTTGTTGAATGTTATTTGACTGCTATGTTATTCTTTGGCCTGTTTTGCTTGCTGCAGTTGCAAGATGGGATGATAAGGACTTCTCCTCACCTGCTCTGACCGTAGAAGCTAATGGTATGGAAAGTATCAAAATTGGTTATGTTCTGGATGAATGGTGAGTTAACATAGATGCATTCGTTATATATATATCTCCTTTGGTTGCCATGTCATCTTTAGCGGCTGATTTTGTTAATATTTGGAAAAGAATGTGCTTTTGATTCCCTCAGAGCTTTGCCTTTTTAAGGTTTTGATCTCGTTGTGCCTGTTTTAACTTTTACAGGGATGAAGAATACGACCGTGGTAAGAGGAAGAAGATAAGGCACCAAAAGCACAACTTTGGTGGTCCAAACCCTTTCCAACAAATTGCCACTAAGAGAACACGGTTAAAGAAGGCGAAGTTGGACCATTCTAACTCTGGAAATGGACCATTCAGGATATGAAGTACTAAGCCATATCAAATTGGAGCAATTTTGACCTGTTTGTCTGCTGTTATATTTTATGTAGTTATCGTTGTTGTCTTGTTGCCTGAGCAACATGGTATTTTGTAACCAGGAGAGTGATTAAAGTGGAGAAAAAAGAACATTAAAAAAATTGAAAATTTATTTTGTTTTTTAGTTTTCCTTGTCAAAATGTCTTTCATTGGGGACAAAAGCACTCACGAATATGAATGGATTAACTTAGTTTTGGGCTCTAAGGGCTGGCCCAAAGGGTCTCTATGTTAGTAATAACAAACTTGCGGTGGTGACACTTATTATTCAATGTGGTAATGATAATTTAGTTTTTCATTTTAATTAAAGGGTGTTGTAATATGGGAGTTTAATCTCGAAATGTCTAGTCACAGGCAAAAGATTAATTATTTTAAAAGTTACAAATGTATCACATTGTCATAAACAATGTGTAATTCTCTCTGGCTTGTTTGTTCAACAGTGTGGATTTATGCTGGATTTTTACTCTGGGTTATGAGTTTAGATCCTATGATCCAGGTCAAGGCCTCACAGACAAAGTGGAAAGACGGAAACCCCTTCAAATAATTGTTAAAGTGGCCCAACTGAACGGTCCATGTTAGTTTTCAAGAAAGGCTCAGCCTAATAATTAGAAGTTAGAACGGAACAGCCTCTCGCAGTCCTAAAAGTTGGTAAAAATTAGTGTTTTCCTGACTGCTTGTGATGATTATTATTAGTACTATTATTATTGCTAGTCACCAGTGGCAGTGGCCAAGCTTAAGTTTGCTCCATTCATTTTCCCTGCATAAAAATTTGTGTGGCAATTATCATGCCTTTTCATCTCAAAACACCAACCACTATTTTCATGATTGCCTTCCCCTTTTCCATTTTTCTTTAAAAGTTTTGGTCAGAATGTTTTTGCACGGGCATGACAGTTTTTATAATTTGACTAGACAAAACAAAAATTACTTTTGTCCTTGCAATGTAAGATCGAGCAGATAACATAGGGGAAAACAAAACCCAATTTGAATGTAGACTATAAAAATTTAAGTAATGGGAATGGTTTACAACTGGGTACGGGCACAGGGCTCGAACCCATTTCAGACGAGGAATCTTACCTCGTTCATATCAATTTTTTTTCAAAGATTGGTTCTTAATTAGTTTGCTCATTTCGTTCACTTACATGAATTAATTAGTTTTTAATTTTGAGCCAGATAAAATTTTTTTTTTTTTTTTGAATTTTGAGAGTTGTTTAGTTCCACAAGCAAATAATACACAATGAAGTGAAATTCAAACATTTAAAATTTAAATTTTATTATTAAAATCTCTTTATCTTAATAAATGTTTCAATAGTATAAATTTTTTTTTATAAATGAATTGAAAAATATATTTTTATAGTTCATATTCCATAATACTTCTTTTATTATATCACAGCAGTCAAAATTAGCATGCACATCAGAGTAAGTATATGCTGTCTAAATTACAATAAATACGATTATGAATTTTGATTGATATCATTTTAAACAATTTTCATCACACATAATCAACAATCATATATGAGATTTGCTAATAGAATATGAAACATTTAATTTAATGATCAAAATTAAATTTTAATAATATCAAATAAAAAAAATCACCACATAAAATTTATCTATTATTATTACTTCGAAAAAACCTATGATTGTAATATATCATGGGAAACTCACTTTTAAAAAAAAAAAACTAAAATGATTATGTAAATTTTACTTTTCTTGATTAAGTTTGAGTTGAATTTCTATATAAATATTTGATGGTCCTGAGTTTCCTTAATTGGACTAAAGTTTGATAACATGACTAAAATTTGAGCTGAAGAATATGTTATTTGGAGAAACATAGTTAGAAGAATAAGTTTGCTGGCATAAGCATGACAATGGAAAACATTAATGTATGGGCATATTATATTATATAATTAATAAATGTAAGTTGATTTCTTGTTACTCATCTTCCTCAATCAATGCAAATCATTAAAATTGCTTCTAGCTCCTGCCCACTTCTTTTTTGTTTTCCTGTCGGATCTTGGCATGCTCAAGTCGCTTCACTTTCTCCCCCCCTTTTTAAAATTTTTTTTATAAAAGAATGCATGTGCAAAAGCTATTTCTAATCCTTTATTGTTTGATTTCTTCATTTCTAGTTTACCATTGATGCTAGGCTAAAACAAAATTAAAAATTGAAAGGTGATGTATTTGATTAGAACTCAAGTTTTAAGAATTGATCAAGACGAAACTCGAATATAAAGTATTATTATTGATATGCTATAGAAAAAAAAATCTAAGTATTTTTGTTTTCTAATTCGAAAGTATATATTAATTGGATTTGTGTTAGAGAAAAATACCTAAAAACCTGAATTTTATTTTAATACCTTACCATGTAGTAACAGGAAATAATGTTGTGATTGTAATGAATCCACGAAGCAGCCATAAGTACATAAAGCAAGTTGGAGAAATTAGGACAGTGGGGTACAGAATAAACTCAAATGATCAAACGTATTGGAGCAGCCCAATTCGAAATCATGAGAGGAAGAACAACGACAGCAACTTGGTGGACTCAATTAATCTTTTTTGAAAAGGTTTTGGATTTATTGTTTTAGGTTCCTAATTTGCCATGATGATTAAAAGAAAATGTTCAGTAATGCTTTCGATTCAATGTTGCTTACCTTGACAGTATAATTTAACAAATCAAACAAAAATCTATTACAAAAATAATTTTGCTAAAAAAAAGTTGAATGTTTAGAAATCAAAAGGTAAACAAAAATTTTTTTTTTCTATGAAATAATTACTCAATATCATGTCATTTTCATTTAAATTATACTATATAATATAATATTGAAAATATTATTTATTTATTATATATCTTATGTAATAATTAAATGTGTAATAAATAATTTTTTAAATAATATAATTATATAATATAATTTAAATAAAAATAACATATTCTGAAAAATTATTTCATAAAATTTTTTTCCATTACCTTTTCATTTCTAAACATTCTTGGAATGATATCTACAGTTCACCAAACTTTACGAGATGAAAGCAGAAGCTTTAAGGTCTGACATTAACTATTAAATTCACCGTGAAAGAGGCAAAACGCAAGGCTGATTTACTTTGTAAAACTGAAAACCCATTTATATTTCCAATTTTCTTTTTAACAACAAAGAGAAGCCCTGCATCAGCTAGAAAAGAAACCAAAACTTCTCATAAATTAGCAGGAAAAAATAAAGAAAAGATGATCAACGCTCAATGAAGAATCATTGAATACCCACCAACACTCCCTGATAAATTCACCAACCCGAATTATATTTTTTGTGATATATTTGTATTGAATTCTTCTTTCATTTATGAAGGCTAACTTCTGACCGTTCCAAACTGCTATCTTTCCGTTCCCAAGGTACCCTTGTCTATGCTTCTCTCTCCTTTCAAAAACCTCTTCTTGACTTCCTCTTGAGTAGTAATATTATTTTCAGGGCAAAGCAAAAAAATTGTACTGATAATAACAATTATACTTGGAAAAGGAATAGAGCTGTTCATGCTCTACACAAAGACAAAAGTGCTTCACTTTCGTTGTTGTTCGTTTTGTTGGCTTCGATAGACTTGCAAAGCCAGACAAGGTAGGTTGACATTCTCTCCTGCGACACCCAAAGGCTCTTAATCCTCAAACAAAGTTCCTTTGTTTTTTTTTTTTAATTACCATTCATTCTTCAATAGCACTGTTCATTTTGTTGGTTTCTTACAGGTACTTTTTTTGAGGGATTTTCTGGTCATCACGAGAGCCCCTACCTAGTCCGCATCATATTTAGCAAATAATAATCTTGTATTTGAAAACCCAGAAAACTGCTCAACAGTTGGTTCTACTTGGCAGTAGTGATTTTAATGGACTTTGCAGAATTTGGAAAAGTGCTGCCACGGGTTGACTCAAAACTAGTTGTGATATGGTTTCGGTAATTTGAAGTCTAGAGAAAGAGACTTGAGTTGGTTAAAGTTGGTGCCTTTTAGTTTTCTTCTTTCTTGGTGTTTCAAAGTTTCGACCTTTGGCTCAAATGGATTTTGGTTTCTTTGTTTCTTTACTAATTCTGTCACTCTTCTTCAAGCTTTTTACTTGTCAACTACCCAATACAGATGAGTTTTATGTCTCTGATTTCTTGAAGAAGATGGGCTCAAACTCTACGTTGTCCTACAACTCCTCCGCTTCCGTTTGTTCATGGGAAGGGGTGCACTGTGATACCAAGAAGGAGAACATTATTGGGTTTGAAGCTTCAGGTTTAGGCCTCTCTGGTTTGATTCCTGATTTCACCATTGGAAAACTAACTCAGCTTCAGTCTTTGGATCTTAGCAAAAACAAAATCACCGCTTTGCCTTCAGATTTGTGGAGTTTAGGCTCACTTAAGAGTCTTAATCTCTCATCTAATCAGATTTCAGGGTCTCTCCCGAACAGTATTGGTAACTTTGGTCTGCTTGAAGTTATTGATCTTTCTGGCAATAATTTCTCTGGTGAAATTCCTGCTGCTATAAGCTCCCTAGTTAGCTTGCAAATTCTTAAGTTTTCTGGAAATGGGTTTGAAGGGAGCATTCCAACAGGAATTCTAAGTTGGCAGTCTTTAGTTTCACTCGATCTCTCGGCAAATCGTCTTAATGGTTCCTTGCCAGATGGTTTTGGTGCAGCATTTCCTAAGCTAAAAACTTTGAACTTTGCCAGAAATGAGATTTATGGCCGAGTCACGGATTTTGTGGAAATGAAGTCTCTTACAAGCCTTAACATTTCCGGGAACTTGTTTAATGGTTCAGTTATGGATGTGTTTCAAGGGCAGCTGGAGGTGATTGACCTCGGCAAGAACCAGTTTGGAGGTCACATTTCTCAGGTACAATTCAATTCTACTTACAAGTGGTCTCATTTGGTTTTTCTAGACTTGTCTGAGAACCAGCTTAGTGGAGAAATTTTCCTAGACCTGAGTCAAGCTCAGAATCTTAGGCATCTTAATCTTGCATATAATAGATTTGCTAGACAGAAATTCCCAAGAATTGGAATGCTTTTGGGTTTAGAGTATCTCAATTTGTCTAAAACCAATCTCATCGGTCATATTTCTGGTGAAATTTCACAACTGAGCTATTTACGTGCACTTGATATTTCATCAAACCATCTTGCTGGCCAAATTCCATCACTAAATAACAAAAGCCTCAAAATACTTGATGTTTCACACAACAATTTGAGTGGTGAAATTCCTATTTCTCTCTTAGAAAAACTCCTATCGATGGAGAGATACAACTTCTCTTACAACAACTTAACCCTTTGTGCTTCGGGGTTCTCCCCCGAGACCTTTGAAACAGCCTTTTATGGCTCATTAAACAGCTGTCCCATTCCTGCAAATCCTGTCCTTTTCAAAAGAAGAGCCAATAGACGTAAGGGTTTTAAGCTTGCCTTGGCTTTGACCATCTCAATGGTCTGCTTCCTTGCTGGGTTGCTATTCCTAGCCGTTGGTTGCAGAAGGAAGTCCAGGACATGGGTAGTTAAGCAACCTTCATATAAAGAGGAACAAAATATTTCAGGCCCCTTTTCCTTCCAAACTGACTCGACCACATGGGTGGCTGATGTTAAGCAAGCAACATCAGTCCCCGTAGTGATATTTGAGAAACCACTATTAAATATCACATTTGCAGACCTCTTGTCTGCAACTTCAAATTTTGATCGGGGCACTCTACTAGCAGAAGGAAAATTTGGGCCTGTTTATAGAGGATTTCTGCCTCGTGGAATTCATGTAGCTGTTAAAGTTTTGGTTCATGGATCAACGTTGACAGACCAAGAAGCTGCAAGAGAGCTTGAGTATCTTGGTCGAATCAAACATCCCAATCTTGTTCCATTGACTGGATATTGCTTGGCTGGGGATCAAAGGATTGCTATTTATGATTACATGGATAATGGAAACTTGCAGAATCTGCTACATGACTTGCCACTGGGTGTTCAGGCAACAGAGGACTGGAGCACTGATACCTGGGAAGAAGATAATAATGGGATACAAAATATCAGCTCTGAAGGGCGATTAACAACCTGGGCATTTCGACACAAAATAGCCCTTGGTACCGCACGAGCACTGGCATTTCTACATCATGGCTGCTCACCTCCAATAATCCACAGAGATGTTAAAGCTAGTAGTGTTTATCTTGACTTAAATTTGGAGCCTAGATTATCTGATTTTGGATTGGCCAAAATTTTTGGAACTGGTCTAGAGGATGAAATTGCACGTGGGTCACCTGGATATGTACCACCAGAATTTTCTCAGCCGGAATGTGATGCCCCTACACCAAAATCTGATGTATATTGCTTTGGTGTTGTTTTGTTTGAGCTAATCACAGGGAAAGAGCCAGTTGGAGATGATTATCTGGAGGACCAAGAAGCAAATTTAGTGAGTTGGGTTAGAGGATTGGTGAGAAAGAACCAAGGTTCAAATGCTATTGATCCTAAAATTCGTGATACAGGGCCAGAATACCAAATGGAGGAGGTCCTCAAGATTGGATATCTGTGCACAGCTGATCTTCCTACCAAGCGGCCAAGCATGCAACAGATTGTTGGCCTTCTCAAGGATATTGAACCAAGAGCTTCTCGATGAAAAATAATGACTACAAGTTGGCCTCCTTTTCTTCTTTTTTTTTGCCTTCAAATTTGTTTTTTTTTTACTATGATTTTTTCCCTTATGCTACCATGGGAGAGGATGTAAAGTAATTGTTAAATTATGTCTTGGTCTCTGATATCTTTCTCCTCACCTTTCCATTGTTGGCATCATAGTTTAATGTATAATTTTATATACACCAGTTTGATCCTTGAAACTTTAAGCTAAAATGCTCCTTTCAATTTTTTTCTTATCCTGGAAATTGGCACTCATTTTGCTTGGATCCTTGTACAAACAAATAAATCAATCAGAACTTGTGTTAAGGTACCGGTGAGTTAATGGAGTCTTGACTTTCTTTGTCCCTCGAATTGCCAAGCTTTGAATGCTTTACTCAGACAATTGCAGCTTGTGATATCTTCAGAGACAGATGCTTATGCCTTGTATAATAAGCAAACTCAGCACACTGCCGTCTGCATTCTTCAAAGAGTATTTCTTTGCAGTTGTTTTTATTTGGTGTGGATCTGGTGGTGGTTGGGAGCAGCTCAAGAGTTATATAGTTGGTCCTGGACCACTGTTTCACCATTAATAGAAGAAACTGTGTGCGGCTACATTAAGAAATGATAATGTGACTTGTTATTGTCAAAATTCAAACTGGCTCATGCTAATAGTTCCTTAATTAGAAATTTTTATTGCTAAATGCTAGGTAAATTAACGCTTAATTAGAAAAATATGTTATATTGCAGAATAAAGGTGGCAGTGATGGAGAGAGATTCCCACCACAATTTATAAGACATGTACGCCTAAACTGCTAATAATTTAAGATAAGATGCCTGTTCATTAACATTTTCAAATGCTTGAAGGTTTCCTAGCACACTAGATATTATCATGATGCATGTTTTGCTCTTTATTGTTTGATGGTAACATCCCATAATTATATTTCGAGTAACTTAAAGTCATATTTCTAGATAATGTTCAAAATATGTAGCTTAATTGGGACGAGTTCTAGGAAAAACCGACATGGAAGGTTGTAAGCAAGTAGAGGTTAAAAAGAAGAAAATAGAATTCAGAAAAGTCTGCATTGTTATAAATTCATCAGGTATTAGACCTGTAAATTTATCATTACATATGATTTAAGAATCATTATCAATTTTTTTTTTAATTTTAGGTATTATTAATCATTTAATTGAATTTATCTTATTTTTTTTAAAAAAATTCAAGCTTAACTTAAGTATTTTTAAAAGATATACAAAATCAGAACTAATATCAGAATATGGTTACGCGTGAGAAAAGTTATAATACCCTCATAATGCCTATAAAAAAATGATACTAGCTTGATTTCATGTTATTCATTTAACCTTTAAAAATCTTATTAAATAATTAATTATTAAGAATTATTTTTAACTGACTCTAATACTTTAACAAAAAATTAAGAGAATTCCCTCGTCTCAAGAATATATAAGAAAACTATTATTTCTCTTATAAAGACTCCATCATCGAATCATTTAATATTTATTTTATTTTTTATGAAATTCTTTAAAAAAATTTAACTTCAAGGAAAAATTTATATTTCAACTTTTTTCTCAAATTCTTGAAAATTTTCGTTTAAGTAAAAATGGATATTTCAACTCTTTCTTCAAATCTTTTGGAAATTATTTTTGCTTTAAAGAAAGTTGATACTTCAACTTTTCCTTAAACATTTTTTGAAATATTTTTTTATTCTAAAAAAATTAATAGTTTAACTGTTCTTTAAAATATTTTTTTATTTGAAGAAAATTGATACTTTAACTTTTCCTTAAAACGTTTTGTTGAAATAATTTTTTTTATTTGAAGAAAATTGATACTTCAGTTTTTTTTCAAAACATTTTTGAAATATTTTTATACATTTTTTATTTAAAGGAGAAATTGGTATTCATCATTTTTGGAAATATTTTTATTTATTTTTTCTAAAATAATTCACTTAAAAAAATTAAATGATAAGTAGAATAACAAAAAGAAGAGAAAAATACAAAAAACAATCGCAGCTTGGCTTCAAGAAATCGGCATGGATCAGTTAGCTCTAGACTCAATAGCGATTTAAGGGTTCAACGGCTCGGCTTTAGGTTGGAAATGGCTTCACGACTCACAATCAAATTTGTGGAGCAGGTGGCGATCAGGTTGGGTCTTTAAATGGGTTGGCACATAGATCTTGAAGTAGGTCAAGAGGAACCCAATTTCCTTAGCATCATTTTCTTTACTATATATAAGCCCATTTTTATGTTCTTTTCCTTATTTTCATGTTTTAACTTTCTCTCTTTAAAAAACTAATCTCTCTTTTCTTTCTATTGGTTTCAGATGAACAAGGGCGATACTCCGTCGTCGTTGTCGCCTTACACCACTGTTCGTTGGTCGATCATCGATGGCCAGAATTGTTCTAAAAAATATCCACGTGCTCATCATGGCCCTTTCTTTTGCGTGCTCTAATTGGTTTCTCCAGAAACTTACTGGGCCTTTGTCGATTTGAGCTTGAAGTCGTGATTTTCTTCCTCTTCTTTGCCATTTTGATGGTCGCCACATTTAGTTATGTTCTTCCTCTTCTTCTTGGCTAATTTCTCAGCAAGTTTTAAGTCCCAAAGCCGTGTTAAACCAGTCAAGTTAAAAACCTAAATTTGTTTTTCCTTTTTTTTTTCTTTACAACTTTTGGATTCTGATTTTTGGACTCATGCATATCTTCTGTACTTGTTGCCAGTCTTGGTTTCTGATTTAGGTTGTTTTGTTTTAAATATATGTTTTTAGGTTTGCTTGGTTTTCGAGAGGTGTTCATTTCGTGAAGATCTAATATTAGGGGGCAAGGCAGTCCGGGTTGTCGCTATGATCTCGATTGGGATTGGGATTGTAGCTAGAGTTTGTGATTTCAATGGAAGTGAATTTTGTAGAGAGTATCACAGCTTTGTGATTTTCAATTATAAAGGCTAAAATTCATGGCTATTTTGGTAGTAGATGACTAATGGTGGTGAGGATAATTTGGTAACTAGTGTGTAATGGGCTAAGGCTGGTTTAGAGATGGTGCTCTGGCGTTTAAAGATGATTGGTTGCAATTAAGGCAGTGAACTATGGTGTTAAATTTTAAAGTTGAAAGTGTTAGTGGTGAAAAGGGTTAGGTCACTATTTGTAAACGAAGGTTGACTGATTTTTCTCTAATTGTTCCTTTGATTGGCTATTTATGGTGTTGCTAGTAATGGCAGTGGCAGAGATAACTAGATTTAACCAAAATTTTACTATTGTGATTGGCTTATGTAAGATGAGTTATTTTCTAGCAGTGGTTCAGAGATGGTGGTAGGATGGGAAGTTTTGTGATGGTAGATATGGTTGGGCTACAATAGATTTGAGATGGTTGATGCTGAATTAAGAATGATGGTAGTGCTAATCATGAGTTTTTTCTCTACCCGATTGCTTTTTTTGTAATGGTTTATTCCTCTGGTTTTTCTATGTGATTTTTCTTTGATTTTTTTGTATTTCCTTGTGTTTCTCTTGAAAGTGAATTACAAGCCCACTTATAATTAAGGTTTGTAGAGTAAGGTTTGTAGAGTTTTAGATTGTCTTGGATCCAATTTCCAAAATCTCTGCATTATCATCAAGAAAAATCCACATTCAAACTTAAATCCAATTCCTAATTTTTCTCAGCTTTATAATGTATTCCTCCTTCTAGTTAATTTGACCAATCAATCTCCCTTTTTTTTTAAGAAAAAAAAAGCTAAACATATAATAATTAAAAATGCTTAAATGAAATTGAAGTTAAAGATAAACCATAATGAAAATTTAACCAGATAAAGAAAAGAATATAAATAAAAGATAAATAAGATAAATACAAATATACAAATAAATAAAAACAACAAAAATATATAAATAAAGAAAAAATTGATAATAATGGGGCTTGGATTGATTTGAGCTTAATTGGTTTGAATCCGGACAAAATAAGATGTTTATAATTATCTTTTATTGTGCATTTTTTGTGCAACGAGAATTATACAAAGACATAAACAGCTTATTATATTTAGGTCTAAATTATTCACCTTTTTGTTCATCTTTTTTTGTTTATTATTTCTTGCTTTTGTTTTTTTATAACGAGCTCTTTGAAAATAGAGGTGTATAACTTTAAAAGTAAATGCCTCTTAATAATAAAGGGAGACAACTTTAAAGTTTAAAGATGACACCTATAGGTTTTAACGATCATGCCTAAAAATCTTATAAATTATGTTCTAAAAACTAAGAGATTTTTCTCAAAAGTCTTACAAATCGTTCCTAACATGAAACAGACTCACAACTTTAGAAAATGTATTCAAAGGTTTTAAAAAATCATCCCTGGAAGACATTAAAAACCAAAAAAACAAAAGAAAAATTTTTACATAGGCTTAAATGGTGAAAAATTTAGAAATTAAAAAAATATTTCTAATTTGGTCTAAATGATAGAATAATTAGATATATTTTCAATAAAAACCAAAATAAAAAAAATTAAACCATTTTCAATGACGGAGTTTCTTCAAGAAAATAAATGAAAATTTTGAATACTCTTGATGTGAGAAAATATTCTTAACAATTTTATCAGATTGATGGAGAATCTTAAGAATTATTTTCAATATTCAACATAAAATTTAAGACTATTAGCATCAAGACCTTAGGATAAATTTAAAATAAAATGATACCATCATTTGGATGAGCATATGAGGGTGCTATAACTTTATCCATATGTAACTGAATTTTCGAACCATATTCTAGTTTGTAGACCCGAACCTATTCTTTTAGAAACTTTTAGTCAAGCTTATGAGTTCTTTAAAAGGATAGATTCATTAGGTGGTAAATCACAATTAGTTAAAAAAGATTGATAAGGACTCTATTGATTAAATCTAGTTATAGATTTTTGGATCTATATGTTTTAACAGATTGGCGACTCCACTGGAGAGTGCTATGGAGAGTCAGGCCATAACATTTTAAATATATCATATCCTTTGATCTAATGGTTTTAAATTGTAATTATTTGTTTACTGATATTTTTTCCTTTTTTGTCTTTTATTTGATTTATGTAGGGTTGAAAATTATATGTTCTTTCACACACTATCACATGCATTCTTATTACATGAGCTTTATACCCGAGCTCCATCCCTCTTAGAAAAGAGTAAAGTACCTTCGCTCTTATGAAATGATAATCTCTATAATGGCTAGCGAAATACTCATACTCAAATTGAATCTTTTCTGTTAGTAGTCTATGATGGGTGAGGATTGGAATGCCTTACTAGTTCGTGATAGACAATAATGTAAGGAACAATTTAAGAATTTTTAGTAGTCAAAGTCACCTAACCCTACATATAATTTATGCTTAAAAGGCCAGCCTTAAGATAGAGCCATTTTTGCCCAT